TCCGTTTCTTCATCCTGTCAAAATTTGGGGCATGTACCCAGTACATTTCTTGAACTGGGACTCAAACTGTGCAGTCCATCATTAGGTTCTGGCTCCCTTAACTCTCAGGTCATGGGGCCAGTCCCACAGTTTTTTCATAACACTTATCTCCATGTACTTTTTGAAGACACCCCCCCTCCGCCCCATACTACTGAAAGGTATTCGACCTCTAAAACTGAAGGTACAGAACAGCCACTAAAAATGAAGATGCAGATTGGGGAAAACATAGAAAAGATATTGAATGTTGAAGTGGGGAGATTAATGTCTCTGTACTGACGGACATGCATGGCATTCCCTTTTGAAAAAACAATGTAATACACTGTAAAGTTATATGTAATCCAATGTAATATAAAGAAGATTATGATGATGATAATAAAAAATAAAAAAATAAAAATAAAAAAATGAAGATGCAGAAGAACAGCAACACAGAGATCCATCAGTCCTATGTGAGTATGCCATAGGATTTATACCAATGGGTAATTTTTTTTTTAAGTTTCTGCTATAGGTCTGTGCACTCACCAGAGAGTGGCAGAGACCAAGAGAAGGTGGAAGAGAGAGAGGGAAAGTGAGAAATCACCTTCAGGGGGTTTGTCTGTGCTGCGATCCCTTTCCCTTCAGTTTCCTCTTAGGATTTTGGGCATGTGCGCGTGCGTGCACGCGCACACACACACACCCACACACACACACACACACACACACACTGTATGATTTTCAAGCTGCTGGGACCAGGATTAGAACTGCACAGTTGGCTGTGTGGCATTCACTGTTCTAAACTCCATCCACTTGCTGGCCCCCATGAGTAAAATTTTACTGCCCCCAGAACACACATTCTAGTAGAAATGGAATCCTGAGCTGACTGCATGGCAGTGCAATGCTGAGGACATCTGGCTATAGGGGAGAGATGAAAAGTTCAGAATAAAGTCCTTATTGTGCTCCTGTGTGAATATACTTGCTTTCTGCAGATATACAACTGCACAGTGGAGGCAGTAAACAGTTGTACCAAAATTGCAACAAGGTCCTAAAAGGGGATCAAGTGAAAAAGGGGGGTGAGGGGGGATGTTTGACAGTGGAAGGCTGTTACACTTGGTAGCTAAGTGTTTTTTCATCTCTTCCAACATGCTGCCAAAAATTATAGACTTGAAAGTGTGCTCCAAATACAATGAATGCTGGATATAACTACTAGGGAAAAATCTATAATGACGTGGGAAGATGGTTCTGTGTGGAATCAAAGAAGTCAACTGTAAAACAGCATGTACTGTGTAATCCTGCTCTTGTTACAGGAAGGATATGTGGACCATGGGGAACTAACTGAAGAACAGAAACCCAAACTGTGATGTAACAGTGGCTATGCTTGAAAAATAGGAATGGTGGTAATTCTTTTTTTTTCCCCACCTTATTCATTGTTATTTTTCAAACTGCCATCATAAACGTGTACTGCATTTGTGTTGAGAAAATTAGTAAGTACAGTTTTTAAAACACTAGGGTTAGGACCCAGGTGGTGTGGCAGTTGAGATGCTGGACTCCCACATAGCCAACCATGATTTGAGTCCTGGACCTGGCAGCTCGCTTTCTTATCTTCCCTCTCTCTCTGTCTCTCTCTGGTGAGCACACGTGCCCTATAGCAAAAATTAAAACACAAATAAATAAATGGGACCAGCAGATGGCATAATGGTTATATTGCTGGACTTCCACACGGCCTACTGCAGTTTGAATCCTGGACCCAGCAGCTTGAAACTCATGCCAGATGCATGTGCATGCATGCTCGAAGTCCCAAGAGGAGAATGAAGGAGAAGGAATTATGGCATATCCCTCCTCCAGAGGGTGATTTTTCTATTTCTCTTTCTCTCTCTCTGTCTCTCTGGTGAGTGCATGTGCCCTACAGCAAAAATCTTTCTCCCCCAAATTAATTAATTTAATTAAATTAATAAATCTTTTTAAAATATCACACTCATGCATGCACAGAGCACGTGTACACACACACACACACACACACACACACATCCACACACACAAATCCAAAGAGCAAGACTTCCCTGCCCTGTTACTGAATTTGGAATTTTCTGATGGGTAGGTAGTATCTGGAATTGTAGAATTTTCTCCCATGCAAAAGCATATGGATTCCTGGAACCAGCAGTTGGTGTAATGGCTATGTCACTGGACTCCCACATAGTCGACCGTGATTCGAGTCCCGGACCCGGTGGCTTAAACTCAAGCCGGGTGTGTGTGTGTGCGTGCCCAAGATCCCGAGAGGAGAATGGAGGAGAAGGGATTGTGGCATGGCCACCCCCCCCGGGGGGGGATTTCTTGCTTTTTGTCTCTCTGTCTCTCTCTGTCTGTCTGGCGAGCACACGTGTCTTATAGCAAAAAACCTCTCTCTCAAAAAAAAAAAAAAAGCATATGGATTCCTACAGGCACCTCACCACCATGATTCCCTTGAGAGGTGAGTAGATGCTGTGTAATATCACTCTTCACAGCCAGGGCAGAAACAAGGCAGTGACTCAGCTGCCCTCTTCTCCCACTCTGCAATTCTGCAAGGATATGAGCAGGCCCAAGGAGTTGCTGCTGTTGTTTGAAGATGGAGACGCTCTGCTCATTAAGGGCAATAAGTCAGAACTCTCCAATGGTCCCCTCAGCCCTGTGCCCTGAATGGATCCCCTGACCCATTCTCTTCACTAATTGTTCCTCACTGCTGACAGAACACAGAAGTGTCCTGTATGTGATAGATTCCTTACGAAGGGAGGGAAGATGACCCAGCTAATCATCAGACCTGCTTCTAAAATGCCATCTAGCCAGAAGCAGCCGAGCCCAGCTATACGCACTCATCCCTAAATGTGACTGAACAGTGAGAACAAAAGGCAAAGCGACTCTCAATTAGGAAACCCAGGGGGAAGATGACAACTTAACAAGTGCGAGGTTCCAACTGACAACCAGCTCACTGAAGATGCTGCAGAGGTACTGCCTATCGCTGGGTACAGTGATATGGCCAAAAGTATGAGAATTTTACAAGATAATGAATTATTGGCCAGGCTATGAAATGGAAAATTAGAATGGATAGGCCAGTAGACTGTCCCTTGAACTGTATTCACTGAATAAATGACTTGCAATAACTGATCATCTTTAGTGAAAGGATGTTATCAACACAGGATTGTCATCTTTTTAAGCACCCACTTCATGTTCAATTCTACCACTCTATATACTTCTCCTTCAAATAGAGACAGATTTTTAAAAAACATAATTTTTTTTCCTATTTTGAAAAATTCCAAGTTATGGTAGAATTAGGAAATAGACTTTGCAGTTATGAAGAAGGATGAGTCAGAGATTGGAGCCACTGTAGAGTTAATAAAAGCGCATCGCATTTTGGGCCAGCAGGTGGGGTGATGGTTGAGGCACTGGAATGTAGTTCGAGTCCTGGACCTGGAGGCTTGCTTTCTCATGTTCCCTCTCTTTCTGTCTCTCTCTAGTGGGCATATTTATCCTGTAGTAAATTGAAATTGAAAAATTATAATAATGATAAGTTAAATAAATAATTCTTTAAAAAGTGCATTACATTTATTTTATTCTTTCTTTATTTTTTACTTACTTTTAATTTGACCAGAGAGGGAAGGGGCGTGGGGGTGGGGAATAAGTGAGAAAGCAAGCTGCCAGGTCCGAAACTCAAATCGCGGTCGGCCATGTGGGAATCCATTGCCCTTAACCATCACAATTTTGTGCTGAGGGTTACAGTGTTGTATGCTGTGGTCACAGCCACCTGCCGACAGTATGGAATTGGCCATATTGTTTTGTGCCTCACATTTTAAAGCTAAGCAAGAAATGTGGCAAAAGCAATTGTTTCTATGGTGCCCTTGGGGCTGACTCACTATTCAATTTTCAGGGCCAGAAGACAGAGCCCCCTCAGCTTGTCTATCTGGCCCATTCTTCCCTAACTGTCTCTCACCAGTGACAGAGGTGTCTCAGTCACTGTGGCTCTCATGTTCAGCCCTGGCAGCTTCCATTTCCTGACAGCTGACTATGGGCCTGCTCTGGGTGAGCCCTTGGCACATCATGCCTTAATCGTCACAAAGCTCTTGGTGGTGGGTACAACCATATTCCCTTTCTACAAATGAGAAAACTGAGTCTTGGAGATGGTAACTTTTGTCCAAGGCAATGCAGATAGTGAGTGGAGAGCAGGACTCAGGCTTCTTGAATGAACATGCAGGAGCGAGGAAGAGAAACCTCACTGAGAAGTCGGAAAGGGCACATGGGATCAGCACTTGAAAGACACACATCACAGCTCATGCATCCCAGAAAAACCACTTCCTCTCCCCACAGAAGGAGGCCGACCG